ATATATATATATATATATATATATATATATATATATATATATATATATATATATATATATATATATATATATATAATTCACTAAAACAAATATTATTACGTGTCTTCTTTTAAAATAAGTTATTTTTTTTTATAATTAATATTTACTTAATCCTCGGTTCTAAGAGTGAAGACTATCCCCGTAGACAACACAAAAGTCTATCTAGCATGTTTTGTCCTCACTTATATACATCATAAGAAAATTTCCACGAGGTCACCTAAAACATAGATTACTCCAAACAAAACATGCTTAACCTTGGAGGTTCTACGATTGAGCTTCAAAAAGAAATGTACACTTGTTAGTATAGGTAATAACTTTCAGTTCTTTTAAAGTTTTCTTAGTTATTCTATTCTCAGGATTATTCTCATTCAGATGCAGTCTTCGGTTTATTCATGTACACCTCATTTTGAAAGAAACGAACTTTAAGTTTTTTTTTTAAAAAAACTAAAAATCAAAACTATTATCAAACGAGACGAAAATGAGTTAAAACTACTCTCGAAAATTTGGTACAAAAAAGCATAAACTTAGTTTTATTTTTGTGTAAAGAATGACAGTCCCTTCATGGGATTCATGGAACTTTACTTTGCTGGTGAACTTGGCATTGAGAGTTTCCATTGGCTGTTCAAACAGTTACCATTGAGAGTAAACTTATTAATGTGATGAGGTAAGTTATAGATTTAGAAAGGTATGGAAGCAGAGACCATTTTGATTACTCATTAAATGAAACACAATGGCAGTTGAGTTGTTCCCTGGCTGTTATGCCCAAACTTTCTCATGCATTGCAAAGCCATTCCTTTTCTTTTAAGGGCCCCTCCTACCTCATGTGACATGCCCTTAACAACGTCTCAAAACTCGCCTTTTCGCTCACTTGTTTCCTTCTATATAACGAGCTTCATCTCTTTCGTTTCTTCCTACATTCCCCTCGAACCTCATAGCTTCTACTCTGTCTCAGAGAGAGTTGGTTTCGGGTTGGATTTTGAATTGTCCTTTCACTATGAGGAATCCTCCTCTCTTTGGGAGGACACCCTTGTTATGCTTCTTCTTGATATCCTTCGTTTTTGCTGCAACGTCGTGCTATGCCGTCGAGGTCATTGGCATAAGCAAATGTACCGATTGCCACGAGAGGAACATAAAAACTAACCATGCCTTGTCGGGTACGTGTCGTTTTCTGTTTTAGTCTTTAATTTGGTATTAAAAACGCTTAAACGTTGTTGTTGTCGTCGTTGTCGTTGATCACTTTGTAGGACTCAAAGTAGCCATAGATTGTAAATCAAGTGATGAGCAGTTCAAAACAAGAGGAATTGGAGAGGTGAATGAAGAAGGAAAGTTCAGTGTGTTGCTGCCTAATGCCATTGTGGAAGATGGAATGCTGAAGGAAGAATGCTATGCGCAGGTTTATAGTGCATCAGCCGCCCCTTGCCGCCCTGCCCATGATGGCCTCCAGCGCCCCAAGGTGGCTGTGGTGCCCAAATCAGCTGGGAAGCACACCTTTGGGCTGTCTGGTGAGCTCATGTTTTCATCAGCGACCTGTGGATCGGCTTTCTTTTGGCCCTTCCACAAGCACCCTAATCACTTTCCTTTGCCACTCCCTCTTGCACCTAAGTTTCACCACCATTTCTTCCCTCCATTGCCTCCTAAAGCGTTTCCTCCCGTGCCTATCTATGAAAAGCCGACTCCGCCGTCTATTCCGGTTTATGTAAACCCTCTTCCTCCACCGGTTCCGGTCTATGGAAAACCTTTTCCACCGGTTGTTCCTGTTTATGTCAAGCCTCTTCCTCCACCGGCACCGGTTTATGAAAAGCCTCTTCCACCACCTGCTCCGGTTTATGTAAAGCCATTTCCTCCACCGACACCGGTCTATGAAAAACCACTTCCACCACCGGTTCCCATTTACCATAAACCTAAGCCTCCACCGGTTCCCATTTACCATAAACCAAAGCCTCCACCGGTTCCCATTTACCATAAACCAAAGCCTCCACCGGTTCCCATTTACCATAAACCAAAACCTCCACCGGTTCCCATTTACCATAAACCAAAACCTCTTCCACCACCGGTTCCCATTTACCATAAACCAAAGCCTCCACCGGTTCCCATTTACCATAAACCAAAACCTCTTCCACCACCGGTTCCCATTTACCATAAACCAAAACCTCTTCCACCACCGGTTCCCATTTACCATAAACCTAAGCCTCCACCGGTTCCCATTTACCATAAACCTAAGCCTCCACCGGTTCCCATTTACCATAAACCAAACCCTCCACCGGTTCCCATTTACCATAAACCAAACCCTCCACCGGTTCCCATTTACCATAAACCAAAACCTCTTCCTCCGCCGGTTCCCATTTACCATAAACCTAAACCCCCACCAGTGCCGGTATACAAGAAGCCACATCCACCACCGGTTCCCATTTACAAGAAACCTAAACCTCCACCGGTGCCAGTATACAGAAAGCCACATCCACCCCCGGTTCCCATTTACCATAAACCTAAGCCTCCACCAGTGCCGGTATACAAGAACCCTCTTCCACCACCGGTTCCCATTTACCATAAACCTAAGCCTCCACCAGTGCCGGTATACAAGAACCCTCTTCCACCACCACCTGTCCCTATCTACAAAAACCCTCTTCCACCGCCCGTCCCTATTTATGAAAAGCCTCTTCCGCCACCGGTTCCTGTCTATGAAAAAACCCTTCCACCACCTGTTCCTGTCTATGAAAAACCCCTTCCGCCACCGGTTCCTGTCTATGAAAAACCCCTTCCGCCACCGGTTCCTGTCTATGAAAAACCCCTTCCGCCACCGGTTCCTGTCTATGAAAAACCCCTTCCACCACCGGTTCCAATATATGTGAACCCACTCCCACCGCCCAATCCATTTTTGAAGCCAAAACATCCCTTGTTCAAGCATCTGCCTCCCATTCCAGAGATGCCCCATCATCCATTTTTCAAGAAGCCATGGCCACCTATCCCTCACTTCCCTCCGGCTCCCATGTTCCCACCCTAAAATCCACCCTCTGCTTCTCAGTCTTGCTTTTCATAATAAGCAATGAACATGGTAATGTGCAGTGGAAGTTTAGTAACTTTCAGCTGCTGCTAATAAAAGCTTCGATTTCTGGCATAACAATCGAATCGAATCGAATCAGAAGGAACAGATAGAAGCAGGATTGAACAGTTTTTTTATTTTGTTTTTATATTTGAAGTTAAGATCTGTGTGGATTGTTCATGGCTGTTGTTTCACGATTGAGATCGTGATTCTGTAAATGCCCATGAACAATTTTTCGTTTACAAAAATTGCACTTTTATGTTTTTGTTTGTTGTGGTTGTTTATCTCAGGCATCTCAATTCTTCCCTACTTTCTTTTTAATTTTTTGTTTGAGGCTTACCTTTATTTATTTATGTAGCGGCACAAGCCCACCAGTAGTTTTTGACCCGTTACGTATTGTCGCCAGTTTTACGGTTTTAAAACACGTTTAGGAGAGATTTTTACACCTTTATAAAAAATGTTTCGTTCTTCCGTTTCCCCCTCCAACCGATATGGGACCTCACAATCCACTTTTTTTGGGCCCTAAGCCCATCCCTAATATATATTGTCTGCTTTTGTCCATTACATATAGTCGTTAGCCTCACAATTTTTAAACACGTCTGCTACAAAGAGGGTTTCAACGATGTGAGACCTCACAATCCACTCCTTTGGAGTCATCGTTTGATATTCTTAGTACTCTTTTGATATTCTTTATTTATTTTTAAAATGAATCATTAAAAATCAAAATAATCATTTAAAAAATAATAACAAAATAAACATAAATTATTGATATAGATTAATATATATTTTTCCGAGTGGAAAATCAACCAGGTAAAAATTATTTTTAAGATTTATTGAAAATATAAATACTAACATTTAAAATATCTCCCAGTTCTTATTGACCTTGAAATCGCTAGCAGAACTCTCTTACCATGCAAATCTGTCATTCTGAATCCTTGGCTGGAATGCTATGGTGAATTGCTACATTTTCTGCGGAGTTCGAGGAATTGAAGTTGGCCGGTTTTTTGCCCTAATGTTCAATATGAAGTTCTCGATTCCTTCCACGATGAAAGGTTTTTTTTTCGATATCATTACTTTTTCTGTTGTATTATCTTTCTGGATCGCTCTGATTAGAATGTGTTTGAGGGAGAATTTGCCTTTCAGTTTCAGATGAGAGCTTAAAAGTAGTCAATAGGCGTCACTGGGCTTTAGATTTGGGATGAACGTTTGATGAAATATCATACACGTGTAGAGAGTTACCAAATGTTATGCATTGTCGTTTCGGTAACTTTATCATTAAATTTAAGAACTGGAATCCGTAGAAGAATCTGATGGAGGCTGATAATGTTTCGAAATGTTCTTCTTTATTGTTGGAGCTTCAAAATTGTTGAGATCTTAAGTGAGCTTGTATTATAAACTATCTACTTAGTGTTTAGAATCTGATGGAGGCTGATAATGTTTAGAAATAAATGTTCAAGAGATACAAACTGCCAACATGAGTGAATGCTAAAGTAAGAAAATACAAAATTAGGAACTTAGAAATGATTACAATCTTCTTCCTCAAGCACAATAATGAAAACCAACAATCTTGGGAGGTTGGCTGCTTAGAGACCCCAAAAATCTTTAACTAATGCTGTCTTGATACCCAAAGTAAAATTAAAAAAACAGAGTGAATGTTCAACGAAAGGGAATCATCGATGCTTCTAAAACTAGAGTGAATGTTATATGAAATAAGGCTTATTCCTAGAAAACCTTTTGAAATTCAAACAAACTTATAAAATGATGGCTTAAGCAATCCAACACCTTGATGAGAAAGAACCATAAATGCCCCACAATGAGAAAGAAGTATTTCCTATGATTGAAATGAAAAAAATGAAGAAAAGAAGTATTGTCACAAAAAGTTGAGGGGAGACAATTTATCTTTCAAGATTCTTATATTTTCTTCTTTCAAATGTACCATAAGGAGAGCTTTGGTTACACAATTCTACTGGATCTTAGTAGTTTCTTTCAAACTCCAGCCTTTAAAGCCTTGAGAAAGCTAGTTATCCCACGCATTTAGGTATGTAACTTGGTATGTTAAATGATTTCAAAATGAAGGATCACCTTATGTATGTAAAAGATTGTGTTTGTGGAAATTATGGAGTAACAGTAACAGATTCTCTTTCCTTATAAAACAAACAATATACAGAAGGGACGAGGGCCAAATTGGGTTACTTTCTCATAAGCTTCTCGTGAGTATTGAGTTACCAAATGGATAAGTTGGATAGAGTCATGAAAGAGTTGAAATGCATGATATGTCGATCTGCGTTACGATGGCAAAGTTGCAAGCATAAGTAGGAAACACTTGCTTTAGGTGTAGTCGATGTTGAGCGATGAGTTTGGGTGCATGTCCAAGACAACATATGATGGAAGTTAAGAGACGTTTGATTATAGGTCGAGCCCCGCCTAAGGTCTGACAAAGCAAAGAGACTCGCAAAAAGAATGTAATGGGCTAGAAATAGCCTTCAAACTAGCCATGATTGTAGTAAGATTATGGTGTCATAGGTTTGAAAATGTATGCTTTGGTCTTCCTTCATAGGTGTACCCCTCAAATCTTTGGAGGACTTATCTGTAGTTCAAATCATTAAAAGAGGTGATGGTGTACTTGAGGTGATAGACACGAAGGTGGAAGTGGGGATTGAGCTAGCTTTTGATATGATTAAACTGTGTTACTAATAAAAGAGAGAGCTAATGATCAATGATCAAGAGGAGAAAGAGGTGTGCAGAGAACGTTTGGCAAATTCCTGAGAGTTAGTCCGGTTAGTGGTAATATGGAGAGAAGTTTTTTTTATTTTTTTTTATTTTTAATGCCATTGTATCATATTCTTCAATTCTTTCTTGATGAAAGTTTGGTTCTATCCCAATTCAGTGAGTTGCGGTCATGGAGATTGAGCAGCGGTGGCAACTTCATCACAAAATCTCTCACACACTTGGACATAAACAACAAATGGATTGGAAGGCCATCAATCACACTACCAAAGGAAGTAAAGTTCTACATTTGGATGACACCACCAAAGATGCATACTTGTTGGACATCGTGCATAGAAAGAATCTAAGGCAATTGCAGCAAGAATGTTTTGTTTTGTTGCATGTAGGATGTAAGCTCAATGATGTTGGTCGATTTATCCAATCATGTATGTACGGAGATAAGTGGCCCTACTATAGGCTAGGTATTTCTATAAATATATATAAGGCCACTTACTGAGTATTTATAACTTTAATGGTCGAGGATGTATGTATGGTTCTTTAGAGCACACATAACTAAAACTTCTTTCTATGTTCTCAGAGATATAGAGAATACTCTAACGTTTCTCGCGGAAAATGCATTCATATGTTTGTCTCACATTTTCAAGAACTTCAAATGCATGAAATTTTAGATGGGTTTCAGGTATTGCTCTAACGTTGCATAGGCCAATTAATATACTTCAAACATTGGTTTTTTTAATGATTTGCCCTTGAGTTTTACGTCTCAATACTTTTTAGGTACTAGAAAAAGTTAGCGAACCATCGCTATCATTTGATAGTTCTGTGATATCAATAAATTAAAATATATTAACATCATCATTTGGTATTGGTAGTTATGTGATATCGATGAATTAAAACATATTAACAAAAAGGAAGGAATGAGAACTAAAATTATTTTACAAAAATGGATGGATTGGATTTACGTACTAATATAAATAACAAATCTCTAAATTTAAAAAACGAAATAATAACAAATAAATAGATAGATTAATTGGTGGAAATAAAAGATTGGATTAATAGAGAGAAAGTCGTACACGTCACTTGATACTATTCCGAAACAGATTGGGAGGACAAATCTCAGCCGTCGGATGGTAACTCTTTGGGGTGCCTAAAATTTGGATATAAAAGGGAGGAGAGGCGTTTGTTGCCGCTTATTTTCGCTGCCAACGAACGCAACCCATTCACAAGAAACCGCAGCGAAGAAGAAGAATCTCAGGCATGGCGGCAACTTTGTCACCGTGGGGAAAGCCCGGAGCGTGGGCTTTGGATGCGGAGGAGCATGAGGAGGAGCTTCTCAAGGACCAGTCGCGCCAGGAATCGGAGCCCAGCGCTGACTTTCCATCCCTCGCCGCCGCGGCCGCCACTAAGCCGAAGAAAAAGAAAGGTCAGTCCATTCCCTTGTCGGAGTTTCAGGCCTATGGTGATTCAAAGCCGTCGGGTCGATCCAATGAGCCAAGGGGTCTTACGGCCGAAGATCTAATGATGCTTCCGACGGGTCCGCGTCAGAGAACAGAGGAGGAGTTGGACCGCAATCGGCTCGGAGGAGGGTTCAAGAGTTGGGGTCAGAATAGTTTGTATGACAGGGGGAATCGGTATTCTAATGGTGAAGACTCGCCGAATTCTCGACGGGGTTCTAGGGTTTTTGATGAATCCAATAGGGAATCGTTGCCCTCTAGGGCTGATGAGATCGATGATTGGGGAGCCGGGAAGAAGCCTATAATGGGTAATGGGTTTGAGAGGAGAGAGAGAGGAGGAGGAGGAGGAGGAGGTTTTTTCGATTCGCAGTCGTCGAAAGCTGACGAATCGGATAGTTGGGTGTCAAATAAGAGCTTTACACCTTCTGAGGGCCGGAGATCAGGCGGTATAGGTGGCGGTTTTGAGAGAGAGCGAAGAGGAGGTTTTCCCTCGAACGGCGGTGGCGCCGATTCGGACAATTGGGGCAGAAAATCTGAAGGGCCTAAAGGTAGAATTGGGGAGAACGGTGGTGGGGCTCATTCTGATAATTGGGGCAGAAAATTTGAAGGGGCGAGGGGTGGATTTGGTGAGAATGGTGGTGGGGCTGATTCGGATAATTGGGGCAAAAAATCTGAAGGGGTTAGAGGTGGAATTGGTGAGAGGCCGAGGCTTAATCTGCAGCCTCGTTCCATCCCTTTGAACAATGAGAATCAGGAGGCTTCTGTGGCTGCAGTGAAGCCAAAGGGTTCCAATCCTTTCGGGAATGCAAGACCAAGGGAACAGGTATTGGCTGAAAAGGGGCAGGACTGGAAGAAGATTGATGAGCAGCTGGAATCAACAAAGATCAAGGATACGGTGGAGAGGGCCGAGAGATTTAGTGGGGCTTCGTTTGAGAGAAAAGGGTTTGGAGCTCGAAGTGGTAGGTCTCCTGATGATCGGTCAGGGCCAGGAAGGAGTTGGAGGAAGCCAGAGTCTGTGCAGTCTCGTCCCCAAAGGTTTGTATTATACTCCAAAACTCTTTTGCTGCTTTTGATGGCTAAGTAATTGGTACATTTGATTCTAATTGTTCCCTTGTATTTGTTTGTGGCTTGTAGTGCTTTATATGTGCTCTAGGTTGTCCTTTGGTCAGATTATTGCTTTATTTGCTGCTTTCTTCTAGGATTCATGTAGAGTTAGAGGTACTTTAGGCAAACTAAGCAGCCCAAGTCCACTAGCAGATATTGTCCTCGGTATTTCCTTTTCAGGCTTTCCCTCAAAGCTTTTAAAACATGTATGTTAGGGAAAGGTTTCCACACCCTTACAAGGAATGCTTCATTCCCCTCTCCAACCGATGTGGGATCCAACCATCTATCCCTTTGGAGGCCTAACGTCCTCGTGGACTAGTTTTGATACCATTTGGAACACCCCAAGCCCACCGCTAGCAGATATTGTCGTCTTTGGACTTTCTTGGGAAAGGTTTTAAAATACGTCTACTAGGGAGAGATTTTAACTCTTATACGGAATGCTTCGTCATTCCCTCTCTAACCGATGCGGGATCTCACAAAGACGGTTCTTTTTTCTCTCGTGGTAAGTATGGTTTGAAAGACACCTGTGGGAAGTTGAATCCAGTGTAAATGATAGTTTTTGGTGGCTTTTGTTATCTTTTGAATCAGAATAGAGAAAAAAATAATGAACTGTTCATGTGACTTGCTTTCCAAGGATGCTCGTTTTTTCCATTTCTTAGACTTACTTGATCTTGAACTAGAAGTAACTTGTAGAAGTCTTAGCCAGTTTAGCTTAAATGTGGTCTAGAGGAGGATGTTTGATTCAGTGACTTGATTGGGTGTTGCAGTGCTGAGGTGGTTGAAGATGGAGCTGGTGGGGAAAATTGAAGAGGGTATTCTTTCTATGCAGTTGAAATAATTGAGTTTGCTGATATGATATGGTATGATATTCATTATTCAAAGTTCTTGAACTGTTCATGTGTTCTTCCTCCTCCTCCTCCTCCTCCATTTGTTCTTTGTGAGTTATTCCCTTCCCAAAACCCTAAAGTTTTGTTTCTGTGAGTTGTGCTATGCAATTTTGGTAGGTTGAAGAAGGTAGCTTTTTGCTTATTTTTAGGGCTTTTATGGATTCATTTGTACCCTTCCCTCAATCATCATGTTCCTCGCAAATACTGTTCAACTGTGTACTGTTCGTGTTTACTGGAATCTGTTCTGTGTTCTTCTTTTCACAATTTCTCATCACTTTCATTATTATGATAATCTCTTGGGCTAAATTAATGTAATTAATAAAATATTCATTTGAATCCTTTGGTTTGAAAGAATGCGCGATTAATCCATGTGATTAATCCATACTACCCGTACAAGTTGGATTGGGTTGGGATTGAATCGTTGAAATTTTGAAAAATTTGGATTAGTAAAAGAGTTGACATTTTCTCGATTGGGTCAATCCAAACAACCTGAAAATATTTGATGGTAGATAAGTATGATTTTTTTTAATAATTAAAAAAATAACCCAATAACCCAACTCGAAAATAGAGGATTGGGTTAGATTGAATTGTAAAGTACTACTTTGGTTGCTTAAGTCAGTCATCAACCCGACTAATCTAAAATTTTGTATACAATCCTATCCATTATCCAAGCACTTGTGTCCTTACACCTCATATTTTATATTGTTTCGGTGGGATGAGAAAATTAAACGAATCTCTTTAACGAATAACGACTTGATTAAAGTCTATGAACTCGATTAAGAGAAACAAATCTCAAAATTCATGTTGATTGAATTGAATCAAAAGAGGGGACTGTGGATTGGTCCCTGGTGATACAGTGAATATCGAACCATCAACAACTCGGAAAGCATCAATCCCAATAACCCTGAAATTGCGATCAACTACCTTGCCCACAAGGCAGAATTGAATCAACCAAGATTTTTTAAGTCTATATTTGTGCCTAAATCCATTCAATTGTAGGCTATTAAAACATACTAGAGATTGAGGCAACGACAAGACTAAACCATCATAAAAAAAAATTTGTCTGACTTTAATGGAGAGGTTTTCAAATAAACCATGAGGATTCTTCTATCGACTTTAATAGAGATTTTGAAATAGTAGTTTGACGTGAGAGAAAGTCGAAGAAATTGATCGATTTATAAAGATAAGATACGAAACATTATTGTAAAAGACATTTCAAGATATAGTTCATTTCGGTCTATTTTAGTCTATTTTAGTGACTAATTAAATTAGGGCTTATTTTAAAGGTGATAAATAGTTAAGGTTGGTGCCAACTTGATCAATATAGCCTTTTAATGAAGGCATAAATATCCTCTCTAATATCAATAAATAATATTAGACCTAAGAACCAAAAACAAAAGCAAATTTACTACACCCTTTCTTAAATGAAAAACACTTTTTAATCAAATATTAATTAATTATCTTTAAAAAAAAATAGATTTTAACCATTTAAAATTCATCCTTCAAACTTTTAAAATTTTTATTTTAACTCTTGAATTTTAATGTGAGATCCCATGTCGATTATACAGAGGATCGAAACATTTTTTATATGGTGTGAAAATCTCTCACCAACCAGTAGACATATTTTAAAATTTTTGAATAAAAGCCTAAGCTTAGACTATTAATTCAATTTATTTCAAAGTAGCTTAAAAAAAATGAATAATTAAAATTTTAATGTAAAGTTTAAATAAATAACACTTAATATCAAAACAAACCATAATAATTAATTGAACTTTAAAAAATAAAAAAACCAAAAAAAAAAAAAAAAAAAAACTTGACTCATTTATTTCTGGTTGTTGAATTATTCATCAATTGCTCCTTACTGCCAGGATTATCCCACCTGTGATGGAAACAACTGGTGAGCTGCCAACTATTACTACCACCACGGATGTTTTTCTACCTCGTGTCTCCTAATCTAATTTTTATACCTACAAAATTTTACGTTTCTTTTTTAGACAATCGGGTGTGGATCATCTTCCGAGAATTCACGAGAATTGAGTTCTCCCCGAGAATTTTCCCCTTTAATAATATTTTACAAGCAAACTCTTCCCATTTAAAATAATTACTTACCATATATATATATATATATATATATATAATTAGTTACTTACGTGTCTTACTATATTGAGGTATGGCGTGGAAGTTATATTCAAAGATATAGAAAAATATCTATCAAATATAATATATATGGTAAACTATAATTTATTACTACATATCCTTAACAAGTAGGGTCCCAGTTCAGTTTAGTGGATGGACAGAAATTTCAATGAAAAATCTCTACCTAGTTCGATACAGATCTCCTCGACTCTAAACTAACAACTTTAATGGACATATCTTAATACTAACTTTAGTTAACTAAATAATTTATTTTTTTTAACTTGAATTAAATGGTTTAAAAATTGAAGCTATTAAATTATTGAAATTAGGATGCAGAAAATATAAAGTGAATTAATTATTGAATTATATATTGGTAAGATTTTGATAATATAAATGAGATCTAGAAGGATCCAGCAAGGATTTTTTAATATTTATGTGAGGGTTTTTAGTTTTGGCAACTTCCAGCTACCGAGCATTTTGTGTGTCACGTGACATAATAAAACTAAATATTTGTAAATAATTTTATATGTTTGGAAAAATGTAAAATAATTACAAACAATAAATTTGCTATTTTTTAATTACAACTTAAATCAAATATTTTATGTTTTCAAATTATAAAACATGAAAAATTAAGTATAAACGTTACTTTAATTTCATTATTTTTTTTATTAACTTTCTAAAAATATTTAATGTTTATTATTTTAAATTTATTTTATCCAAAAAAATATATTCCTCTAATATAAAAACTATATTTGGTTGAACCAAATAAACCCATAATTATTTTTCGGATTATTTATTTCCAAACCACTCTTAAAAATAATTTAAAATAGTTTTGCAAAATTAAGTATAAATATTTGAAAATAAAAAATATATTTTACTAAAAATAAAATTTTAAACAAATTTCATGGTTAAATTCATTATTTTAGTTTTAAAAATTTACCAAAGATTTTAACTCGGAGTTGTTAGGTTGAATGGCTCAATGACCTGACCTAGGGTCACGACCTCATGTATTTATAGATGTGTATAATGAAGATTACATTCTAAATCATAGATTTGGTAACAAACTAGTAAATCATAGATTATCTTACTATACACAAATATGATTTACTCTACGTTTAATAGGAGTAACACGACCTATAAGCTCGGCTAGTCGACTGACCTCACATTATTATGGGGAAAAATCAAATATTTGTCTTGTTTGAGGGAACATCTAAATCTGATTCAAAAAATCATTAATCATATCTTAACAAATTTAAAGAAACAAAAATTTCCAAATATATAATATATTTTAATTTTGTCCAACCTCCCATTAATTTGGACAGTTGAGAGTTGAATTTGAATCATTAACTGTCATCTGACACTTTTGTCAGACTTCTAACCCTTCATCTGTCATCTTCAACCTTCTCATAAATTCACTTCCAATTGGCCCATCCTCTAATTCTCTCACCTCCATGGATTCTCTCTCCAAGCTCCACCTCTGTTTTCTCGCTGCAGCTCTCCTCTCCGCCACTGCCCATGGCTACGCCGTCGTCACCGGCACCGTCTTTTGTGATCAGTGCAAGGATGGTCAAATTTCCATGTTCGATTACCCGATGAATGGTATGATTAAATTTATCGTAACCCATTATTTTAATATTAAATTTATCGTAACCTGTTAACTTAATTTGTTCGTTGCAGGTGTTAAAGTGATGGTGGCCTGTGGCGATGGCAATGGGGGAGTGACGTATTTGAGGGAGGAGACTACGAATTTGTTTGGAAGCTTTACGATGAGATTTGATGGAATGCCGGATCTTAGCGGCTGTTATGCGACGGTTGGTGGAACTGGAGAGGGAGCGACGACGGACTGCGGCGGTGCTGGTAGCCCGCCAAGGAGTCTTAGGTTAATGTTTAGATTGTTTAGTATGGAAATGTATGTAGTTGATTCGTTGCTGTCTCAACCGACTCAACCAATGTCATTCTGTTCCGCATCGGTTCATCCGGTCCCGGCCCCGGCCCCGGTTGTTATGCCACCACCGCCGAATTTGCCTCCTCCTTTGAAGATGCCACCGCTTCCTCAACTGCCGCCACTTCCGCCGCTTCCTCAGCTGCCGCCGATGCCATTCTTGGAAGTATCAGCTTGTCAACATGAGTAAGTGACAAGAATGGTTGGAAACTTTAAAGAATAATTATTTATTTTAAGTTATTGTATTTTATTTTTTATTTGTAGAAATTGGACGAATCCAGATTACAAATGCTATTGGAGGGCGGTGAACCCAGACACAAAAGTGGGCGTGGTTTTTGGACTGCTGGCGGCGAACCGGTACGGGACGGACCTGACCCTATGGAACGGGCTACAGGGGCGAGGGGACCCTTATAGGACCCTTCTACGAGAAGCCATAACGGCGTTCCTCAATTCCTACAATTCCGTTCATTTCCCCTACCCTACACTGTCTGTAGTGGAAGGCTTAAATTGGGCCTTATTGGGCTCTCAACGGGCCGTCCTCCACACGGCCCTTCGTTTCAAACGGGCCAACTCTGGTAATAGCCACGTCACCTGCAAATTCGATCCTTGCCAATAACTAATAATAATAATGTTACTTGTTATAGATATTAATTAATGCTACTATGTAAGATCTTGAGTGTCATTTTAGTTGGTATAATTTCTTAAGGACAAATATGATATTATTATTCTATTATGATAATCACTGCAACATTTCATATTCATATTATAAGTCGAGCGTTGTTTTCTATTTTTATTGTATTATTATGAAAATGGTTATTGCGTTAAGAAATATTTGTACGTACCAAACTGTTAAAGGATAGTTGACCATTCATTCATTATAAGGCAAATATCTAGATATTTGTGGTAGGCTTACCATATTTGTCAAATATATTGTATTTATTTATTATTTGTAATATACTCTATTTCTGTCTTTTTGTAAATTATTATAAATAAGAGAACTCTCACCACAAACATTTACACAAACGTTTTATTTTAATACATGGTTTGTTTTTTCAGAAAACATCTTAATGAATTTAATAATATTTGATTAATATAATTTTTAAAAATTTAAATTGTAATGGTATCTTATAGATTATGTAGTCACTTTTGGATTTGAAAATTAATTAACTTGGGAGATATAATATTAAATTAAATTGTAATTTAAGATATATATATATATACATATATATAGTTTAAAAAAATAATAATAAAATAAAAAGCTTTATGGTCATCTTCTCCAAAACGACGTAGCTTTGGGGAAAATGTGGGCAGAATGGGTTTGTACAAAAATTGAAAAAAACAATGGTTGACATGAGTCTCCACCAATAAATAATTATGAAATTAACCCAACACTAACGGAAATTACGAAAACACCCCAATAACAGCTTTACCAAACTTTGAAAAATCAAACAAATTATCATTTAATTTCCAAACCAAAAACTCTCTCCGAAGAAGGATTCGGCGGTCGATCTGGAAATGGGTTCTCAGGTATCCAAACAGATCGAACGCCGGAAGACCATTCACACGGAGAAGAAAGCTATGGTGGAGCTCCGGCAGAGCGCCGGCGAGGATTTTCCAGGGTCCGATTACCGACCACAGGATAGAAAAAACTGGATGGCGAATCTCGGCTCCGAAAGAACGCGCGTGAACCAAATCGTTTGGCCAGGGACTCACGATTCTGCTACCGACGATATCGGAATTCCCTTCATCACGCGTCCTTTCGCCCAGTGCCAATCACTCTCCATCTACGACCAGCTCGTGTTAGGCACGCGCCTTTTCGATATCCGTATTCAAGAAAATCGGTTAGTCTGCCATGGAATCCTCTCAACTTACAGCGTCGACGTCGTTTTTGCCGACGTAAAGAAATTCCTCGCCGAAACACAATCGGAAATCATTATCCTCGAGATCCGAACCGAATTCGGGCACAATGACCCGCCCGATTTCGACAAATACGCGGTGGAACAACTCGGCGATCATTTAATCCACAACGACGATCGGGTGTTCGAGAAGACGATTAAGGAATTGCTGCCGAGGAAAGTGATCTGCATTTGGAAGCCGAGGAAATCGCCGGCACCGAAGCGCGGCGACCCGTTATGGAGCGGTGGGTATTTGAAGGACAATTGGATCAACACGGATCTGCCATGGAAGAAGTTCGAGAGCAATCTGCAGTTCTTGGCGGCGCAGGCGCCGGTGTCGAACCGGAAGTACTTTTACAGAGTGGAGAATACGGTAACGCCGACGGCCGATAATCCAGTGGTGTGTGTGAAGCCGGTGACGAGGAGGATCCATAAATTTGCTCGGTTGTTTATTAATCAGAGCTTCGCGAAGGGCGTGGCTGATAAATTGCAGGTTTTGTCGACGGATTTCATTGATGCAGATTTCGTGGATGCTTGTGTTGGGCTTACCAGTGCAAGAATTGAAGGGATGGCCTAAAAATTTGGGGTATGGTTTTTTTTTTTTTTTTTTTTTTTTTTTTTTTTTAATTAAATTGATAAATCTGTGATTAATTTGTGTGGGTTTGTTTGTGATAAATGTATAATTATTGGTAATTAATTAAAGTTATGTGTGAATAAATGGTTAAATAGATCTCTTCGTCTATAATCTTTGGTCTCTATCAAGACCCAATGAAAAAATGGAACAATTTATTGTGGACGTGTTGAGAATGATTATGATATAATTTATAGTTTATTGGGGTGCATATAATATTTTTAACATTTTTTAAATGATCAAATTTATTAAATTATTAAATTTTATATTTAATAAGACATCGAACGACAAGTACGTCTATAATTGAATTTTTAATGTGATAAAAAATTGAAAGTTTACCAACATATTAAACCCGTTTAAAATTTAAACATATTATATACGAATTTAAAAATTTTAAAAATTTAGAGTTAGGTTATTAATGAGTTAATTTAACCATTCTTTTTATTTTTATAAAAAATTTGGAGGAAAACCGTATGAAATCCCTATTTAAAAAACCATATAAAATTAGTTTTATTTTATAAAAATCTTAAAAGCATTAAAATTTAAATAATAATAATAATATATATGTCAATTACTCATACAAATTTAAACTTGTTAAACCATTATTTTAGAAAAATACCAAATATATATATATATATCAATTAATTAATTAATTTAATAGAAAAATCCTCGTACATAGAATCCAACATGAGAGGTAATTCGACAAGATTTTTGTCCGAATAATAAAAAGAACATTTTGTGTCACATGCCTTATCCTTAAAACACCGTGGAGCTTACTCACATCTTCATGGCAAATGTACAAATTTCATACTATTTTTTTATTTTAAATTATCTAAAATTCATGAATCAACTTAGATAATATTTAAATTAAATGAAATTTAAGGTTAATCTACAATTTATTTTTTAAAATATATATATTTAAAATAAAAATTGAAATATTGTGGATTAATTTTTTATTTTCCAATTTTGCCCTCCAAATGGATAAGACTTCCACATACATATCATCGTCATACGTGAAAAAACGATTGATCTTTTTCCGCCTCGGCGCACTCTATAAGAAACCACTTCCTCTGCCCCTTCCATTTCATCGTCCCCTTTCAACAAAAATCTCAATGGCTTTCTCCTTGTTCACTTCCTTCACCCACTCCCCTCTCCGCCCATCCGTTCAGAGGCGGAATCCAGCAGTGGTCGCGTCGGCGACCTCCACAATGACGGATCGAACGACGGGGCTGCGTTTTGGCGTCGAAATGTCAATTGGGCATTCGTCGTTTTACGAGGTGCTTGGGATTCCGAGGACAGCTTCTAGCTGGGAGATCAAGGCGGCGTACCGGAAACTGGCGAGGATCTGTCATCCGGATGTGGTGGCGAAGAATTCGACGGAGGAGTTTATTAAGATTCAGGCGGCGTATTCGACATTGTCGGATCCGGTTAAAAGGGCGGATTACGACAGGGAGATTTATAGAGCTCGAGTGATTTCGGTTTCGGGTTTGTCGTCTGGGACGCCGGTGTCGGGGTATTCCGGTTACTACACGCGGCGGAATTGGGAATCCGACCAATGTTGGTAGCGAAATTGAATTAAAAGTTGTAAAAATCAGGGGCGGATTTCAAGAACAGAATTAGTTATGCTTTTAATTCTTCTTGTTATTATTATCTACTGTGAATAATTCTGAAGTTGGTGGAGCAAGCGAGCGAGCGACGTCGTTTTTTTTTTTTTTGTTTATTAAATTTTCAATTTCTCCTATTTTATTTATTTATTAATTAATTATTAAAAATGAAAGCTTCCCTACTCTCAGAACATGCTAGACAAACTTTTATATAAGCATAGCAATACTAAATTCTCATATATGAATCAAAGCAACACTAACGTTTACACATAAATCAAGATGATTCATGTACGACTATGGAAGATGAACTAAATGAATTTAATAGATTCATGAATCGAAGTCGAGAATGTACTAAAAGTATTCATGACAACTCACAACACCACAAACGCTCCATAATCAATTTAGGGAGTTAGGTACGTTCTTGTTCTTGAATAATTTTTCGACACAATCGTGATCCGAATTTAAAATTCTTTTCTAGCTTTGAATGGTAAAAATTCATTCTCGACAATTTGTTAAAGTTTGTTTTACGTTTCTTAAAAAGATTATACTCTAGAAGATATCTTCTTGTAAATAATGTGAGCTATTAAACAACGAAGATATCTCACAAAACGTTCTTTTGTGAATGGTGTCAATAAGAGTTTTCAAGTCTACAATGTACGGCAGCCAACACTAGGCTAGTGATTGTTCTAATGCCAATATCATTGTATAGCACGTTCGAGTAGATTTTGTATAGTGCATTAATGTTATTGTCTTGAGTCATGTGGCTTTTTTGTGCATTTTGGGCGTTGAGATTGTTAGCCAATATAGGACTCACTCCCAACAATTTTCAACAATGCTCCCCTCGAACAAAGTACACTATAAACCTCCCCTGAGGCTTATGGAGCTCTCGAATAGCCTCCTCTTAATCAAAACTTGACTCTTTTCTCGGGAGTCCTCAAACAAAATACACCATTTGTTCAACACTTTAGTCACTTTTGACTACACCTTTGAGACTCACAATTCTTTGTCCAATATTTGAGGATTCTATAGACACGACTAAGTTTATGGCATGACTCTGATACCATGTTAGTAATCACGACTTTCCATAATAATATGATATTGTCCAACTTTAAGCATAAGCTCTCATGTCTTTGGTTTGAGCTTCCCCAAAAGGTCGCATACCAATGGAGATACGAAGATAGTGTTCCTCCCCTGTAAACCTGACTTTGGTTTGAGCTTCCCCAAAAGGCTCCATACCAATAGAGATATGGAGATAGTAAACCCATGATCATTCCCTAAATTAGCCAATGGGAGTCACTAATAATCCTTAACACCTCAACCATGCCACGTTCTTTCAAATTAAAGCAATATAAACTCAAATTGCAATTAATGTCACAATAACAGAAGAATGGAGGTTTATTTATTTTTAAATGATGACAGGCTTAGATTTTGGGTGAATGATAATTTAGAGTATTAATATTTTAAAATTTTAAAATTTATTTTAAGATTATATTTACAATTAATAGAAAAAAAAGAAAAAAAAATATTAAAGGCTGTCTTTTTTAGAAAAAATGATAAAATACAATTCAAAATTGGGGGCCATAAATAGAAAGGTTTTCTATTTTTACAAATTAAAATACATAAAAGAAAAAATGAGAACATAATAGAGCCGAAATTAGGGGGGGGCCCACCTCTCGCCTACGTGTCCCCTCTCAATCCACCATTCCGACTGTCATGTCGAATTTTTTCTAATTCCCCCCCAAAAAAAAAAAGAAAAAAACAGAGGAATTTTCCGGCGAACAATCGGTCCCCCGTTTCGGCCATGGCCGGCATTGTCAAGGAGATCCTGGCAAGGCCCATCCAACTGGCCGACCAGGTGACCAAAAACGCCGATTTCGCCCAAACCTTCAAGCAAGAATGCATCGAACTCAAAACCAAAACCGAAAAACTCGCCATCCTCCTCCGCCAAGCCGCCCGCGCCAGCAACGAGCTTTACGAGCGTCCCACCCGTCGCATCATCGACGACACTGAGCAAGTTCTCGACAAGGCCTTCACCCTCGTCATGAAATGTCGTTCCAATGGTATAATGAAACGTATGTTCACCATTATAAACGCTGCCTCCTTCAAAAAAATCTCCACCCAGCTCGAAAATTCCATCGGCGATGTCTCTTGGCTTCTCCGCGTCTCCATCCCCGCCGAGGATCGCGACGATGAATACCTCGGCCTTCCTCCTATCGCCTCTAATGAACCCATTTTGGGTCTCATTTGGGAACAGGTCGCGATTCTTCACACGGGTACTTTAGAAGAACGATCCGACGCTGCCGCTTCTCTGGCATCCTTAGCTCGAGACAACGATCGGTACGGGAAATTGATTATTGAAGAAGGCGGCGTTGTGCCGCTTCTGAAATTGGCTAAGGAAGGGCGAATGGAGGGTCAAGAACACGCCGCGAGGGCCATTGGGTTATTGGGTCGAGACTCGGAGAGCGTGGAACAGCTTGTGAATTGTGGGATATGCTCTGTTTTCGCGAAAATCCTCAAAGATGGGCATATGCAGGTTCAATGCGTGGTGGCTTGGGCTGTCTCGGAAATGGCCACTTACCATCCCAAATGTCAAGACCATTTCGCTCAAAACAATGTGATTCGGCTTCTGGTTAGCCATCTCGCCTTCGAGACCATCCAAGAACATAGCCGCTACACCATTCCTTCCAAGCAATCGATTCATTCGGTGTTGATGGCTAATACTAATGGTTCCGAACATGGTGAAGACGAGTATAAACAAGTGAATCACCCAACTGGGAATCAATTGCCTAGCCAAATGCATAATGTAGTTACCGACACATTGTTTATGAAGAATCCTGTTAAGGGTCAGTCCAATACTCATGAATCACAAAACCCACAAAAGGGTAATCATCACAGCACTACGCGGTCGCACCACCACGCCGCACTGTCAGGGACTAGCATAAAGGGTAGGGAATACGAGGACCCTGCTACCAAGGCCCAAATGAAAGCCATGGCTGCTAGATCTCTATGGCAACTATGCAAAGGGAATGTTACCATTTGCCGCAACATAACAGAGTCGAGAGCTCTGTTGTGCTTTGCAGTTCTATTAGAGACAGGTTCCGTGGATGTCAAGTACTATTCCGCTATGGCATTGATGGAAATCACCGCCGTCGCCGAGCAGAACGCCGAGCTTCGTCGATCTGGGTTCAAACCCACCTCCCCTGCCGCTAAGGCCGTTGTGGATCAGTTACTGAAAATCGTCGAGAGAGCGAATTGCGAGCTGCTGATGCCGTCGATCCAAGCGATTGGACACTTGGCTAGGACGTTCAGAGCCACCGAGACCAGGATCATCGGGCCGCTGGTGAAGCTGCTGGACGAACGAGAAGCAGAGGTGTCAATGGAGGCGGTGATTGCACTGAACAAATTCGCGTGTACGGACAACTTCCTACATGAAAACCATTGCAAAGCGATCATAGAAGCGGGAGGAACGAAGCATCTAATCCAGTTGGTGTATTTTGGAGAACAAATGGTTCAAATTCCTTCGTTGATTCTGCTGTGTTACATAGCTTTACATGTTCCTGATAGTGAGACGCTAGCTCAAGAAGAGGTACTGATAGTGCTGGAATGGTCTGCGAAACAGGCGCACTTAGTGGAAGAACCCACCATAGAAGGTCTGCTGCCAGAAGCTAAGAGTAGGTTGGAACTTTATCAGTCCAGAGGTTCGAGAGGATTTCATTGATTTTTCTTCATCTTCTTCATCATCTTCTTCTTACAAAATCTGTATAATAATTGTTCTCTTTGTTCCATCTTTGATCAAAGTGTATGTAAATTAGTTTGCTGTGATTACTGGTAATGGATTAGAAAAGCCCTCCAGCACTCCATCCACCTTTCTCAACGTTTCTTCTCCCTCCCTTCTCGGTTGGATGATGAAAGTCTCACATCTGCTAATGTATGAAATGATCATGGATTTATAAGTGAAGAGTCGTGTTCGTCTAACACTCTCAACTATTGTGGTACGGTTTTCAAAACGTATAAACCCATGATATTCCCCTTACGTAGCTAAGGTAAACTTATCACACAAAGCTAATCGAGCTCAAAGCCAAACTTATCACACAATGCTAAACACTATAACCAATATGGTTCATGGAAAACCAAAAGTGACTGAAAAATCGAGTTTGTCGAATTGAACGGATTATAACTCAAATCGACCCGATTGTGAATCAATTTATACACAAAATTGAAAGTTGGTTGGTAAGAGCGGTAGAATTAGAATTAAATAAAGAAAGCGGAAAAAAGAGAGAAAGCAAAAACAGAGCATATGCTAAGGGATGTGTATTTCTCTCGCAACAAGGAAGGTAAAGTTCTTCCAATCCCATCAAAACCCCAATCTTATCTCTTTTCCTTCAATCTTCCGATGGATCGCTCACTCCTCCTCGCCACTCTTTTCACTCTTCTTCTTCTCCCAGGTAAACAAAATCGCGCCCTAAATTCCCCTTTTGTTTTCTGTTCTTCTGAATCCGTTTCTTAATCTCAACTTTTTGTGTTTTTGATCTATAAATTCACCCCGTGTTCTTCATTTTCCTGTTTCTCTAGATGTTCAATCGACGTCTTTTAAGTTAATCAACAAGTGTCGGACCACGATTTGGCCGGGTCTGTTATCAGGCGCCAACACCCCCCAGCTTCCGACCACCGGCTTCGCCCTCCGCAGCGGCAAATCCAAGATCGTTCCGGTCCCGAAATCTTGGTCCGGTCGGTTATGGGCTCGGACCCTTTGTGGATTAGATTCAGATGGGAAGTTCTCTTGCCTCACCGGCGATTGTGGGTCGGGTAAAGTGGAGTGCGATGGCGGCGGCGCTAAACCACCGGCCACCTTGGCGGAGTTTACTCTCAACGGCGCCGATGGGCTTGATTTTTACGACGTCAGCTTGGTCGACGGTTATAATCTTCCGATGCTGGTTGTGGCCAAAGGTGGAACCAGAGGCGGTTGCGCTGCTACCGGCTGTTTGGTGGATTTGAACGGCGCGTGTCCATCGGAGCTTCGAGTAGCGCGTGGTGGTGGTCGTGGTGGAAGTAGCGTGGCTTGTAGAAGCGCGTGTGAGGCTTTTAATGCTCCGCAATTTTGTTGCAGTGAGGCGTTCTCTACGCCTGACACGTGTCGTCCTTCTGTATATTCGGAGTTCTTCAAACATGCTTGCCCACGCTCTTATAGCTACGCGTATGATGACAAAACCAGCACTTTCACGTGCGCATCCGCCGACTACCTTATCATATTTTGTCCACTACCCTACACCAGGTAAATTTACTAAATTACCCCTAATTTGATTGGTCATTTATCTCCCAATTGTTTTCTGCCACGTGGATCCTATCTGTAGCATTGACCTGTCCATCTGTTCCAAATTTATTGATTGAATCAACATTTTTAGAGCTGCTTTGTAATTGGTCATATGAATCATTTAACCATGTTTTTAATTGATTTTTACCATTTTAAGGTCACTTTGACACGTACTTCGAATTAGATCTCGGTTCTATTAAGAGTTCATTGTCGGTTCTATTAAGAGTTCTTTGTCGGTTAGCAATGTTAGTAGCCTCGTAATCTTCGAGCCAATCTTATATTTTAGCTTGATATTCAAGGGATTATGGGTTGAGTTAATTAGATCATAAAAGTTGATATGAGTCCGAATTGTTTATGCAAACGTGTCTAATCTTGACTTTACGTGGGATCTAAATTGTAGTCAGAAAGTATTGAGTGCAAGGAAAGACGGGGCAGCGTTACCGCTCGTGAACAAGACCATGATGTACTTGAGAAGCCGAAGATCGATCAGTGTTCGATCGGCAGGTTTAACTCAATACTAATGCCTATAAATCAACAAAAACCATGCTGCCTCCTTGTGTTACTGACATCACAGCCTTCCCTGTAAGTTTCAGGCTTATAGTCTCGAAACGAGGTGTCGAGGGACGGAGAGGGGAGTTCGAGACGGGCGTATCGGCGACGATAGGGGAGACAGCATACTCAAAAAATGGAAGGCTTTTTTGTTTATACACAGTTGAAGTTGATTGATATTATTGTTTTGGAAGAATTCAGATTATTTTTTATTTTTAATTTGATGGAATTATGGAGTAAAAACCGACACTAAAAAGCAATATCGATTATGTGAGATTCACGTGGTTGGATTCTCTCTTTTTTCGGCCCCGTGGAAACAGGAAAAACGACATGTAGAATTGGATATTAATTCCCCTTTCAAAACAACCAACCACATCCTTTTGTCGTTTACTTACTTACTTTAATTTTAATATTAGTTAAATTAGATGAAATAATATATTTTTTCTCGAGAACACTATGAATATTACGATACGATGGGACCTAAACTTAGGTATGGTACTTAGCCACATACCCTTGATTCAAATAGAGTTGTTTAATGCTAAGTCAAGACGTCCTCGTAGAAAGTATAGTATGAGATTCCACATCAGTTAAGGAGAAAAACGAGACATTTTTTATAAGGGTGTAGAAACCTCTCCCTACCATACGCGTTTTAAAAACATGAAACTAACAATGATATCTATTAATAATTGTTTCAAATACTTTAATATAAATTTAGGGTATAGTTTTTAAATTCTCTCACATATGTATCTTATGAAAATCTAACATGAGAAAAATACATTATATTTTGAATTATCCAAACATATATATAACCCGACAAAATTAAAAGAACAAGGACAACTGTTTTTCTTTTCTATGGAGGCCTCAAAAGAGATGCATATACTCGAGACACGAGAGGAGAGTTAAGTGAGCGTTAAAAGGTATTATTTTTAGGCGCAAAAGGTAAAGAAAGAAAGGAGGATAAAGTTTGAGATTTACGATAATAAAAAAACCAACCGTTCCTTTCAATCATTATTAAATATATTTATGAGATTTGAATCAATTACTCGTAAAAAATTTGATAGTAAAAATCAAGATTCGAGTAAATAAAATAGGATTGATTAATAAATATTTAATTTTTTATTTTTAAGATTAAGTTTATAAATACATTTATTTTTATTTTAATTACAAATAAATTTTTATTTGTTGAGTTTTAAAATGAATAAATAAATAAAAAGAAAAGAAAAATAGATATTATGGGTCAAAATTTTCCAGTTCAATGCATAAAAAGAAGAGACTGTAGCAGGAGGAATCCAATGCTTTTGCCCTAATTACGCTTCAACAACCAATGGCCCACAAATTCATATCGGAGTCTATCAACGGTCGGCATCATCCAACGTGTCACTTTCAACACCCTTGATTATTGGGACCCTGCTTTCATTTTGTCTCCACGTTGGACTCTTCCCCACCATAGCAGCATCAGCACCTTCTGGTTTTCGGTGGGTTTGGATGAGACACGTAAAAGGACTTTTGTGGGCCCATCTCTTTTCTGGCAGTACACGTGGCTGACTATGATTGCATCTCCATGGACTCTACCATACACCTCACTTGCACCCAATAACTCTATGTTTTTGTTCGTACATATTCATCTTCATGCGAACAATTATGGAAATTTAATCACTTTCGCTCAAATTCTTTAATTTTTTTTTATTTTCACATATGGAGATATTTATTACATCACATAAAAATCCAAGAATTATAATAAAAAATATTGACGAAATTAATTTAAATATTTTTAGTGATTTTTTTCACTTACAATATTCAAGAAAATTAAACTATAAAATCTAAAATAAGTTAAATTAAAATTCTCATAAAATTTGTATTTTTCATTTTTGAGTATACTTGCTTTATATTAAATAATTTTAATAATTTAAAAAAATCTGGTGATAAATTTTATTTGTGGTCTTTAAAACTTATTTTGGCATGGATTAATCTTAATTAATATTTTATAATGTGGGGAAGTGTTGAGTTTATGGAGACTAATTATTTATAATATAAAAGGAGAAATAATTAAAATATTTTAAATTGAAATTAGTGGAGAAATAGTGTTTAAAACCATTCCCATTATTAGGAAAAGTATAAATTGAAATATTTTAATTTCTACTTTTGACAAATAAAAACCTTTTAATCATGTTTAATCTTATTTTTAATATTCTATAACTACCTTTTTAAGGAATATAGTGTTCATATTGCTAATATTATGATTATTTTTTTAATACTATAATTAATTTCCCAATAAAATTATATTTTAAAAAATGTACAAAAATTGAATATAAAAAAATTGTTTTGAAATTTTATTTTTAAAAAATAAATTGTTAGAAATTTTATTGAAGTTTAATTATTAAATCTTAAAAAGTAAAAATTGGAAAGTGAGACTAAAAATGATTGAGGAAAGAGAAAAGAGAGAGAGAGAGAGAGAGAGAGAGAGAAAGGCGTAACGCAGCGCCTCCTCCAATGTTATTACCCTTCTTCTTCTTCCTTCTTTTTCTCATTCTCCTTTCTCTCTCTTCTTTCTCTCTCCTCTCTCTCTGGTTTTTGCAGACATTTCTGACGGAATCTCTACCACCATAACCTCCGCTCCATTTCCATGGCTTCCTCGTTCCGCCGTTTAACCGCTCTCATTTTCGTAACACTCCACTTACTCGCCATTTGCAGAGCCGCCACATTCACCTTCGTTAACCGGTGCGATTTCACCGTTTGGCCCGGCATTCTCGCCAATGCCGGCAACCCTACTCTTGGCACCACCGGTTTCGAACTCCCCAAGGACACTTACCGCTCCTTTCTCGCTCCGACTGGTTGGTCCGGTCGTTTCTGGGGCCGAACTACCTGTAACTTCGACGGATCTGGTTCTGGATCCTGCGTAACCGGCGACTGCGGTTCCGGTCAAGTCGAGTGCAATGGCGCTGGAGCTGCCCCGCCGGCCACTCTCGCTGAGTTCACTCTTGGAACTGGCGGGCAGGACTTTTACGATGTTAGTCTCGTTGATGGATATAATCTCCCTATGATTGTTGAAGGAACCGGCGGGTCCGGTCAGTGTGCTTCGACGGGTTGCTCCACGGATCTGAACCGTCAATGTCCGCCGGAGCTGAGAGTTGGGGAAGGAGACGCGTGTAAGAGCGCGTGTGAGGCGTTTGGGACTGCGGAGTATTGTTGTAGCGGCGCGTACGGTTCACCGAACTCTTGTAAGCCGTCGGTGTACTCGGAAATGTTCAAATCTGCTTGTCCAAGGTCGTATAGCTACGCCTATGACGATGCTACGAGCACATTCACTTGTACCGGCGCCGATTACACCATTACATTTTGCCCTTCATCTCCAAGGTATTATCCATTTTATGTTCATGTTTTAACCATTTTTTTATAGTTCAGTATGAAATATTTTAGGCCAGATAGTTATTGATCGAAATGATTGAAGGAATTTGGTTAAGGCATATGGGATTCTGATTATAATAAGCTTAGTTAGCTGAAAATGCCAGTGCTATACTGCCAAAGATTCTCTTTAAGTGATGAATATAGAATAATTGTCCAGTGGTTGTGGAGCATTTGCTGCTGTCAACAAAGAACATGATGAACTAATATTATATTATACTGAAAGATTAACATGTGGGTCATTCATTCTATGACTTGGTGCAGCCAAAAATCATCAAGTTTTCCTACTCCAACAACACCTGATGCATCTCAAGAGTATGGATCTGAATCTGGGTTTGAGTCGGGGTCGGGGTCGGGGTCGGAGTATGGGATGGGGTATTCGGGAGCCTCTGGAACGGATATGTTAGGGAGAGGTGCGAGTTCAGGATCAGAGTTGGGGTCGGGGTCCGCGTCGGGATCTGGGGAAGCTATGCTAGCAGATGGGTCGTGGTTGGCTGGTTTGGCTATGGGAGACGCAGCTAAAACTGTCTCTCCTCCATCCATTATACTGTTTGTTGTAACGTTTATTGTTATCTTGTCTTCTGTATTCTTGTAGCCCTCTCCAATTTTCACCTATGTTTGGCTTTAGCTTTTTAAGTAAGGAACATTGAGAAGGAAAGGATCTCTTCCCCCCAGCTTGTAAAATGCCATCTTCTTGAATGATTCATTTTCTATTTAGTTTGGAAGTGTTTTAGTTCCGTTCAGTTTCTTAAAGCTACGTGAGATCCCACATCGGGTGGAGAGGAGAACGAAACATTCCTTATAAGGGTGTGGAAACCTCTCCCTATCATATGCTTTAAAACCTTGAGGGGAAACCCTTGAAGGGAAAGTCCAAAGAAATGAGTTTGGACTGTTACAAATAGTATCAGAGACAGTCACTGAGCGGTGTGCTAGTGAGGATGCTGGACCCCTAAGGATGGATTGTGAGATCTTACATTAGTTGGAGAGGAGAACAAAACAATTCTTGTTAGGATGTGGAAACCTCTTTTTAGCAAATGTATTTTAAAATCTTGAGCGGAAAACCCAAAGAAGACAATATATGTTACCGTTGAGTTTGAGCTGTTACAAATGTTATCCAAGCCAGTTATTGGGTGGTGTGCCAGTGAGGACGTTGGCTCTCAAGAGGTGGATTGTGATATCTTGCATCAGTTGGAGAGGAGTAAGGAATATTTCTCATAAGGGTGTGGAAACATCTCCTTAGCATACGTGTTTTAAAATCTTGAGAGGAAACCAGGAAAAGAGTTTGGTCTGTTACAAATGGTATCCAAGCCAGTCACTGGGGTGGTGTGCGAGTGAGTACACTAGCCCCCAAAGGGATGGATTATGAGATCCCACCTCGGTTGGAGAGGAGAACCAAACATTTCTTATAAGGGTTTGAAAACTTCTTCCTAACAGACACGTTTCAAATCTTTGAGGGGAAGCCCTTCAAAGAAAAAACTCAAAAAGAACAATATCTACTAGTCATGGATTTAGACCGTCACAAGCTATCACGGTAGTATGTTCCGTTTCATTATTGTATAAATCAACACATTGCTTGTGATGTGAACAAGTTGACAAGAACGGCTGGTTTTTTTGTTTCAGAGAAGGATCGCTTGGCCTGTAATGCAAGTCACAGGTCACACAGCCTTGGCTTTTCGTCTGTCAGATCATAAAAAAATGAAAAAAGATGCAACTTTTCAAAGCCCCTTTACTTATATTATCATTTTGGTATAGTGGAATATGAAGATTTGTTCAAGTTCCAGTGGAGATTATACAGATCACTCAAGTTGATGATCGAATCTTCAGTGTAAAAAGTAGGATCAGGCCAGTTCTCTATATAATTTCTTCTACAACTGAATGCTGAAGTGTTTGGTTT